ATATATATATATATATATAAATATATATATTTTATATAAAAGATAAAATTTTTATATATATATATATATAAGATAAAAAAATATAAAATATTCACTCAAATTAGTGAAGGATTATTATACATTCTGGGATACAGCTATGAAATATATCTGCACTTTTAATTTTATATATATATAAATAAAATATATCTATATAAAATGTGTATTAGATTTTTTGATATTTATTAAATCTATTTTAATCCTAAATATTATATGCAATCAAATAGTAAAATATTATTAAACATTCTAGGATATATCCATGAAAGGTATGAGCAAAGTTGCCAAAACCTTTCTAAAATTAGATTGCAAAATGAAGGCTTAAACGTCCCAAAATGCTGTCTAGGAAAGTATGCGTGTATGTGAATAAAATAAAATTTTGCCCTTGCTTTGTCATATCCGTGTTTCTATACCTGTCTGGAGTGTCTCTGGCTCCTCAGGTTTCTGGGCAATTTGCAGGTAGTAGAGCAGAGCGCCATAAAGGTGAGACCTTAGACGCTGGAAACCTCCACCTTGATGTAAACAAACACCAGGGAGTAAAACAAGAACTTTAACCATTTAACCTCTAACATGGTGGAATTAATTTACCCAGGTTAGCGGATTAGTCAACCCTGAAAACACTTCTAACCTGTGCACAAGATAAAATCCAGTAGCTTCCTTAGGATGAGGTGGAGGGCGGAGTTAGCGATTGAAGCAAATCCTGATCCAGAGCCACCATGAGGCCCCGCCCCCTGCTGCTCAGACAGCACCGATTGGCTGAGTTGTGCTGTTAATGTGAAGACCGCCCCGGCTACAATTGGCATCAATTCACCAGCAGCATCTTCTGATAACACCTAGAGGAAAGAGAGAAGCAAGTCACATGCTGTTCCTCGTTTAAAAGCATCTTCCTCCTCATTAGTTTTCCTACCTTGTCGTGCAGATCCAGCAGCAGGTCTCTGATGATCAGCTGGCGCTGGTCGGCTGGGATGAGCTCTGAAGGACAGGCCGTGAGGATGGTCTCCACCAGACTCCTCCAGCTCTGCAGAGCATGACGCTTTGCACTGAGACTACACCGCACGCGGTTCCTCTCCACCACCTGCTGCAGGATTGAGTTCACCTCCTGATACCGACAAAACAATCAGCACCATGAAAAAAATAAATAAATAAATTGTAATGCTTGCCTGCAAATATCAGAGACACACTCGCCTCCAACAGCAGTGGTCTTTGCCCAATGGCCGCCATGCCCTGCAGTGCATTGATCTCGGCAACTAAAACTCGATGGAGCAACTGAAAACATGATGAAACAATGAAAATATTAATTGTATATTCTTATAATAAATAAATGACCGTATAAGGTCTAATGCATGCAGGAAATCAGTGAGCCATCCACATACCTTGACGTTGCAGACCGTGTGTCCCTGCTCGTTGACGTGTTCACAGTTGGTGATGACCTGCTCAATCTGAGCACGCTCAAAGAAGTCCAGCTGCAGAAGCTCCGGGGCCTCCTGACTGAAGTCTATGGCATCCAAAACACTCAGCAGCCTCCCGCGTACTAAAAGAGCAATGGATGATTAACTAATTATATTCAAAATCAGATGGCTTCTTCCTTTCTAAAGCGTCAGAACAAACTGCAAAGTAACCAGACTTTCTCTTACCTTTGGAGACGGTGCCAAAATGCAGGAAACCACTGACTGATCTACTCTCCTCTTCCATGCCTGTCTCTCCATCTGCTAAAAGACAGATTCAGTTGTGTTTACTTCAATGTGGCTGGACATCGTGAGGAACTTTGGGTGTATGTATTACCGGCATGTAATGTGTTTGGCTGGTCATCCAGGAGGAGGTTGAGCAGTCTCTGTGTGTGAGAGCGCTGACGGTTCAGTGAGGTCACTCTGAGCTCAATGGCTGCAGTCTTCATCAGCCAGGACATCTGAGACAGAGCAGCAATCTCATTCTCTGTGGGACATAAAGACGGAATCAATCAGAGGGATACTAATTTGCATGCTATCCTCCCTAAATAGTATGTGAAATTATGATTAGTGCGTTGCAAATCAAATGAAGGATAAAAATATGTAAAAGGTGTCTGGATGGCACACTAAATCCATAATCTGAGTGGCTGTTTTACTGTCAACAATATCAAATTGCTAATAATAAATAACATGTTAGAAATGGATATTACACTAAGATTCAAAAGTCTGGATTTTTTATTTTTTTTTGCCAAAGTGTCTTATGTTCAACAAGGCTACATTTATTTGGTCAAAAATATAGTAAAAACTTCAATATTGTGAAATATATGTACAATTTAAAGGCAGCGGCTATTTGCACTAAGTGTAAATAGAGATAGAGGCTATTTACACTAAGTAAGTCACAAAGCAATTATATGCTATTTACACTAGGTGAAAATAGCATATTTTCTCAGTGATAGATGCTATTTACACTAAGTGCAAATAGCTATAGATTCTATTTCCACCATGTTAAAATAGCATGATTTTCTGCTATTTATATTACTTATTGCAAATAGTGGTAATTATCTGCACCTCAGTATTGTAGTACACTATAAAATCATATGCAATAATAACTTATTGAGTGTAAATTTGAATTCTAATTATTAAATGGATGCCACCTTATTAGGACAATAAAGCTCTCCCTACACCTACCCTAACTAACCCTACCCGATCATTTATTTTCAACGTTTTGAATTTTGAATTAATTTTTATTGAAAATAAATGCTTTTCTGACGAGATTTGAAATTTGAAAAAAAGTTCGCCAAAAGACAGATTCAACCTTGGTCGATCGCATCAAAATGAGTACAACACACTCTTTACCATCTGCGACTAGATCAGATGACTAGCCCAATCACACGTTGGTGGGTGGAGTTAGAGTAAATAGCGTCCGCCAACAAGACGGGCTATTTGCACTTAGTGCAAATAGACACTCCGTTAAAATAAGTGTTTTATATTTTAATATATATTTATTCCTGTAATGGCAAAGCTGAATTTGCAGCAGCCACCACCCTTCAGTGTCACTGATCTTTCAGAAAACGTTCTAATATGCTGATCTGCTGCTTCAGAAACATCTCCCACCAGATGTCATGGACACACTAGTCTGTCAAGATCAAAAGCATACCTGGTAGAATGAAAGGCAGGTGCTGCA